CCCTCAGCCTGATAAAAGTGAGGGAGGAGGGGAGTGAGCAGGGGCAGGGCTTCGGAGAAAGGATGGGAAGGAGGCAGGGCAAGGGTGTTTGTGTTTGAGATAGATCCAGGATTGCACTTAAATTCAAAAAGTGATCTCATGCTTAAAAAGGTTGGAGACCTCTTCTATAGAGTATGCACATTACCCCCTGCCCCAACCAGTAAATGTTTTAGCAGGCTGAGCCCAGCTCAGTTCTGACTTCTGCCAGGTCCAGGACCTACCCTCGCTGCAGCTCTACATTTAAAGTATATTAGGAGTCAGGCCGGCAGGCAGCTCAGCTCAGTTCTGGCTTGCACTAGGTTTGGGAGCTCAATTCCCTCCCCCGCCGAACAGGGGCTGGTGGCCCCGCCCCCCACGCTGCTGCCTCCCAATACAGAGGCAGCAGCACAGAGTAGCATGGGGTTCCTTGGGAGTGGGGCTGGAGCGCACTGGCTGTAACACCACATCCAGAGAATATAGAATAGTCAAGTAATTGATAAGAATGAGGTAAATTGACTATTTAATTAAGTGATATTTAACATTTCTAGGGCAGACCAGCTGCTTGCTGCCTCATGCTGCTGCCTCTGTTACAGAGGCAACAGCGTGGAGTGGCAGCAGTTCCTGTCCATGGGGGGGGGGAGGGGTCTGAGTTCCCTGTGGAAAGAGGTTACTAGGGTGCAAGGGAGAGGGAAGGCTGCCCCAAAACAGCCTCTGTCTACAACAGGCCAGGCTGGCTGCAGACTGGGGCTGTTGCCACAAAACAGTGTCTGTCCCGGGTCTATCAGCACTATGTCCTCAGCACTCTGAGGCAACAGTGGAGTGGGGGCGGGAGCCTGCTGTGAAGCAGCCTTTGCCCACAGCAAGCCTGGGCTCAAGGCGGCAGAGGCTGTTTTGCCGCAACCTCCTCTGCTCCCTCCACTGTTGCCTCTGATAGAGGCAGCAGCATGGGGCGGGGAGGCAGCTCTGTGTAGCTAGTGCTGGGGGGGAAACCAGCCTTTAAGCCCGCTCCTCCCAGCACCAGCTCTTGCTTTCTGCCCTCCTCCTTGCTGCCTCTGTATCAGAGGCAGCAAGGGAGGGTGGGGGAGAAATGCAAGTAGTCAACTAGATGTAATCAACTAGTTGACTATTTGTTCAAATCCCTATTAGATTCCCTGAACTGATTTTACTGGAGGCTTTTTAGGTTGTTCACTTTAGTTCTAGTAATTACTTGGTATGCAAATGAGAGTTTATAATTAACAATGTGTCAAAAGGCAGAAGCTGAACCTTACCACTGTCGTTTATGATGAGTGTTCATTTCAAGCATTCCCAGAAGATCCTGGAGAGTTTGGGACTTGACATTTCATTAGTGTACAGCGCTGATTAGTTTGCATTTGAAAAACTCTGTCAAATTGCATTTTTAAAGTTAAAATGGCTATATTATCTTGTATATAAAACCCTGGAGTCAGTGCCAAAGGATTTTGCTTCTGCTGTTTTCCATAACAACAGAACCAATCACAGAATCTTAATTTCTTCTGTAGGAAATATTTGTTCCACATTTGCATTTAAATTACACTAAGAAAATTAAGTTAATGAAAGAAAAATGTTCCTGTCAGAATGGCTGCTGCTGTTTGAATTCTGGCACAGTGAATTCAGATTGTAAATGGGTGACTACATAGAAAATGCTCTGGGATATACAAGAATAATCTCCGTTTGCAGTCTAGTCTTTAAAGCAGGAGTGTGGGAGTCTAAGGCACTCATTGAGTCATCATGGGTACTGCAACTCTGAGCTTGTTTCCCCTTATGTAAAATTGGGATAATGTTCTTATCTAACAAGTATTCACAGCTAAATTCATTAATGCTTGTGAAGCATTTGAATGTTCTTGGGGGAATCAAAAGAAATCAAATTATTTGCTGAGCTTTTAGCTTTGGACTGTTCATGTCTTTGAAGTAGAATGGCAGAAAGCAAAATACTGTACATGACCCTCTAGGAGAAAAGGCAGTAGGCTTTGTATGTCAAGGGTGGCTGTAACAATAGAAGAAGTGATCTCTACCTGCACATCATCTGTGGATGCTTCCTTTACTGGCTTGACCAACAACCCACCTGAACTTAATTTAAATTCTGAATAGGACAGGGAAAGCCAACCTCTTCAAGACAGCAAGAGAGGATCATGGAAGATTTTCTTTGTCTTTTGCTCCACCACCTCTCTTCTTCAGTAAGAATTTTGTCTGCAACAGGCATACAAGGCAAACTTGCCCAACTGAGATGACAGGAATACCTTGGTTAGCAGATAGAACCCAGGGCATATATTCTGCTCTGCTTCTGAAAGTTAAGGAGGAAAGGAATGCAGACAGGGACAAATATATGCATTACTCATATGGCAAATATATCCTAAATTTAACGAATTAGAGTAATTAAGCAAATGGGCATTGTATACTGTTATTCATCTACAGAAAGTGGAGGAGGGAAAGTGGCAATGCCATTCATTTCTGCTTTTGCCGAGTGTTCTAAAACAAATTTCAGTCATCCATAGTCGGTAACTTTGAGTTCCTGGAAAAGCCCAGAAGGGTTTTGTACCCCCTCAACCCAGAAAAGCCCCTGGTATAACGGCCAAAGAAGCTGCATGAGACCGAGATTGGAACTGTTAAGCAGAAATCATAGAATACTAGAACTAGAAGGGAACGTCAGAGGTCAAGTCCAGCTTCCTGAACTCATGGCAGGACCAAGCACCATCTAGAAAATCAGTGAAATATCTGCCTAACCTGCTCCTAAAGATCTCCAATGACTCCCCAGCAATGTATTCCAGTGCTTAACTGCTCTGACAGTTAGAAAGTTCCTCCTAT